TTTTTATAAGAATGTAATGCATGCAAAATATTTTTAGGTTATTTCAGTTGATCTTCAAATCATACTTGTGAAATGGTCATGTCTTTATCCATGTCTCATATATGGAAACAAAAGCTTAATTGCATTAAAGACTTGTCCATAATCACAAAGGTGTTAAGTAATATAGACAACTAGTCTTCTCCAGCTCTGTTTGTGCTCTGCCTTGCTGCTTCATTAAATGAATGTATATTGTAGAAATATTTTTAATTACTGCTATGTATAATGCTAAAAGAATGCAAAGGGAAGCTTAATTTTAAACCCATGCATATTTTCCTTCTTAAAATCTTTAATCTCTGAACTCTTTGAGTAATGAATAGGAAATCGTATGCTGCTCTGGCTTCTTTTTTACCATTTTAAAGCTTGCTTTTCTAATCTTGTTACAGATGCTATACTTAACAAGGGAGGTGATGAGCCCATTGTCAAAGGAGATGGTAAGAATTACTGAGAATTATTTTTATGAAAATAAAAAGGGATATCAAGTTATCCATTGCTGTGCAGTAATGGATAACACTTTGCGGCTTAACAGAACAAACATTTATTTTAGGGGTTCAGAATCCAGACATAATTTAGTTGAATACCTTTGTCTTCAGGTCCCTCACAGTGTTTCAATAGGGGTGACAACAAGAGCTGTAGTATCTCAAGGCTGTGTAAGGATTATTCAGGGCAATGCCAGCTACAAGGTACAGGGACTTTCAGGGCTGTACAGGCTAATTCAGGTAGCTTTTACCTGGAGATTTCCGTTTCTTACCAGGTGAGCTCCGATAGGGTAGCTTGGCTTCCCTCGGAGGAAGTCAGCCATTGTGATGTAGGACACCAGTGCAGAAATTGCAGTCTTTCTATCTTCTAATCTTGGAAAGACAGTTAGTTCATCCCCCTGTTTGTTAGAGGCAAATGACTAGGTACAACCCACATTCAAAAGGGGATTACACAAGGACATGCGACCCAGGAGGCAGGGCTCATTAGGAACCATCTTTAGAGGCTGCCTACAAAGATTTAGATTCCTCAGTTGTATACTAAGGTAACAATTTCATTTGTCAAAAGCTAAAACATTCATTTTGTTTATGGTTTCCAAAGTATTTTCTCAGCTAGTGCATATCTTTGCAGCCTTGCCACCTTGGGAGATAGATGCCATCAATCACTTTTACAGATCAGGAGAGTTTTATGATTTTTGCTAAAAGGTGCATATCAAGTAAGGCTGGGGGAGAGCAGGGAAATGAACCAGTCTTCTGAATCAAAATCCCATATTTTTTTCCTACCATATTAATGTGCCTAATTACTAAATGTTTTTCTTAAATATTCAAGATTGGGGTCATTATGTGCAAACGTAACTCCCCCCATTCTTGCAGGCCTTGATTTCTTACCACAACTAAACTCAGTCTTCCCTCCAAGAAAAAACCCAGTCACTTCAGCCACTTCGGGTTTGCATTCCAGTCCGCTCAGCATTTTCATGGGCTCCCCAGGGAAAGAGGAGCATGACAACCACGATCTGGGGATGGAGTCTAAGAAAGCCCATCTGGACAAGCACGAGCCTAAAGATGCTTTCAAACAGGTACCTGCCTGACACGGGCACTAGAATCTCTCTGTCTCTGCCTCTGCCTGCCCGTCTGTCAGGCAAGTACGCGGAGCTAGTCAGAGTATAGCCGGCAGTGGCGGTCCACTTAAGAGCTGACACATATTCTTAAATCACGATGCCATTTATTAATCTGAAACAAACACTGGAATTCTATCTTCGGATATGTTGCCACAAAACAAGATAATTGATTTATTTGCCTATGCAAGAACATCCGAATTCTCTTAAAATGTATTTACATTCAGCATAACACACCAAATTGGTGGCTAAGCATTTACACTAGGTCTGACATCAAATTGATGGTGCTGAGAATGGAATTCATCGTCATTGCCATCTGCTGTAACACCGGGTCTAATAGAGAATATGATTTCTTTTGTAAAGGCTCAAAATGATCAGATATTACCAGGAAAGACTATTTAGTATGTTGTGTGTGTGTATGTGTGTGTGTATGTGTGTGTTCCATATCTAATTTTTAGAAAGGTTTTGAATCATTCAGGAAATTAAAAAATATTTTGTGATTTATTTTTCAAACATTGCTGACTAGTTTCTATGACTATTTGGTAATTTTTCCTGCCAGTGATGTCCTTTTAAAATAATATTCAACAACCAATATGCAGGTATAAAGTTTTTCTTATATCACCAACGTTATATTCCATTAGAACTGATTTGTTTTGCCATTAGTTTCAGCATTGCCCCCCTTCTTCTATATCCTTTACTTTCTTCCTTCTTACCCTCCTTTGATTCTACTTGGGATGGGGCTACAGGGAGGGAGTAGTTGCAATTTAATAAGGATAAATTCAGAAATTATATATAAAAGTAATTGTTTGTTTTAAATATAAAGTTTGCAAAGTTGATCTCCTCTGGTGCTGAAACTGGAAATTTAAATACCTCTCCATCATCTAACCAAGCAAGACGTCCTGAGAAATTGGAAAAGCCAGAGAAAGAAATGGAAACCCAGTTGCTGTTTGAACCCCCTGTTGGTGGATCCTCTACCCCAAGTATGTACATAAAGTGTCTGGATGTTTCAAAGTGTTAAGTGGAGAAATTTTACAGTGATTTAACCTGCGATGTGTAAGTAAATGTGATTATGAACGGAAAAAAGTTCTAATGTGACTCTTCCTAGTAGACAGTGATAGCTAGTTGGAAGGTGAAATTACCTACATTATTTTGATAATTTTTGCATGAATTTCATCCACAATCTAATACTTACCTGGCTTCGTGTAGTAGGGTATGGATTAAATTATAATCTAGGACCCTGTAGAAAGGGGTCATTGGTGCTTAGCCACTAAACAGAAGGCTGACAGTTTGAATCCACCAGCTGCGATTATATCGGAGGACGATGAGCCAGTCTGCCTCCATACAGATCCAGGCCGGGGAAACCCTCAGCTGCAGTTCTGCTCCGTCTGGGGGCCTCTGTGCGCGGATGGAGTCCTCGGCCTGACTTTGGTTGGGGTTCTAACTATCCAGTACTTCGTTTTTCCTTTTACATTGAAGTAATGTCTTAGAGTGCCACAGACCCCTACAATCTTGATCACATTTAAAGGGGTTTTAGGTTCGACTGTAAGAATTACGTATACAAAGCGCCTCTTCGTAGGAGCATCTCTGCATCTTCCACGAAGGCCTCTGTGGACGTATTGTGGTCACTTAGGCTCGAGGTCTGCGCACTCCCTTGCCCTCTGTTCCTTCTGCTTTGTTTCTGACCGTCGTGGTTTATCTAGTTTGTGGTGCAGCTTGCACACTCATCCTTTATATAGGAAATGGTTCAGAGCTTCTTCAAGATTAATCCCTGTCATATATTACTACACATATTAGACAGTTGGCAATTTATTTAGATAGATAGATAAATGACTCTTAGGAATAATCTCAGAAAGTTTTTAAGATTTCTTTTCAGACAGTGAATTTTTCTACATGTCACAGGACCAGTGTTGTTTGCCGGTTTTTCAAGTGTTCTCTTGACAAATCTTATTCAGAAATGTTTGATGTCTCTTCTTCCAAGCTGACTATTAATATTTTCTCCTTTTTCTGTTTTAGATCCAAGCACAGCATCCTCTGTCACGGCTGGAGTTGCCAGTTCACTGTCAGGGAAGATAGCCGAGACGATTGGAAATCACCGACCGAACGCACCACTCACATCAGTGCAGATACAGTTTATTCAGAACATGATACAGGAAACACTGGATGACTTCAGGTAGTCGTTGAGAAATGACTCTTTGTCTCACCCATAACTCTTTGTCTTTTTGGTAGATATCAAACCAGAGCTTTCAGTAATGTTTGGTGGTGACTGGTTTGTGTATGTTCTGGTGTCTATAAAATTCTAGAAAGCATGATGCATTTTGTTGTTCTTGATGTGCTGCTCCTATTGCTTATCTGTCAGGAAAAAAAGTTCACCCAGGTTTTGATAACTTGGCAGGAGCAGTGTAGCAGGCAAACTGCTAGTGTAGTCTTGTTAAAGTATCAGCATGAACGGATTCTGTAATCTCAAATGGGGTTCTTAGATACAACATGTATACATTTGTTAAGTCTACTGTGTGTGTGTGTGTGTGTGTGTGTGTAATATATATCACATTTTAAAGAATCCTGAACCTTATCGAAAATGTATCAGCATGTAACTCTTAGATTTAAAAGAATTCTTGCCCAGATCTGTGCATGTCTTTCTCATATTTTAATTTGGAACATTCTAAGAATATATTCTTGTAAGGACACTACTTTCTTTTATTAATCATCTCTCAGTACATATTGGGAGCTTTTTTTTTTTTCAATTTCCATTGATCATTTACCTTTTTTCTGCGTAATGTGCAGCCAATTAGTATTGTAGCTTCAATGTATATTGCCAAGAGTAGGATTGCTGGAAAATATATCTGTGCAGTTGTTCTTCATTAAAAATATTTCAAATTATATATTTAAATGTTGAAAATAATAAAAAGAATAATAATTTTAACATTTAGAATCTGCCTAGTATATGTACCTGGAGCTAAGGATACAAAAGTCAAGACTCTACTCACAAAAGCCTTATGGTTTTATTGGGAATCTGTAGTTTGTCCACTGCAGTACATAATAAGAACTCATCTGCAACAGCTATCGTCGTTCTCATATAATCAACAAAGGATAAAAAGAACCTTTATAATGAAGTTATCAAAGTCAGTCTGAAACAGTTAAAAGGCATGAGTAGTCATTTCACAGAAGAGAAGCAGTGTATGACTGTAAGAAAAGATGCTCACCTCATAATTAATGAGAACGGAAAATACGGTAGATGCCATATCACATCCATTAGGTGGGAAAACATTATTTAAAAATCTTTCAATTTAAGTCTGGGGAAAATGTGTAGCAAGAGGAACGCTGTCATACTGATGATGGGTGTGTCAATTGATATTGCCTCATTGGAAAACCATTTGCATTGTTTTGTAAAAGTGAACAAATTACATCTGTCTCATACCTATGATCAGGTGACCAGACATCCTGCTTTTGGCGGGACAGTCC